TAAAGCAAGGTCCTCCATAGTGCATCTAATCCACAGCTACTGTGGCCGTTCTAAGCATCTCAGAGAGGGACAGTACTCTCCACTATCCATCACTTTTAAGAGTATCCTGTCAATGACATCCTGAAAACAACATCAAGAATTCATTATCATCCAAATAACACAGGAGTCACTAGAAGAGGGGAAGAACTTAGGATGCCCCTTTTACTTCTGTCTGCCTTTCCTCTAAGGTATTAGGTGAACAATCTGCTGTATTTATAAACGACAGTACAGCTGAGAACAAAAGGAGGAGATTATTTAAAAAAAAAAAGAAAGAAAGGAAAGAAAATCTTAAGAGGGTGAGGTAGGAGGTAACTTCAAGTAACTGACTAGGTAGATAAAGGAATACTCCAGTTACCACCATAGTGAAAGAGACAAAACCTAGTTTCAGTGACTGGCTTCACATTTGCCACAGATAAAGAAACTCACAGTTGTTCTCACATCTTATTCAATTTAGAATGAATCTACTAAAGGTGGTGAATCTAGAGCTACCCTGCCCAGCACAGGAGACAAAAGGCCATACAGTTATGGAGCACTTTAAACACGGGCAGTCCAAAACGAGAAGTGCTGTAAATGTAAAATATGCACCATGCTTCAAAGACAGTATGAGAAAAAAAATCCATAAGTAATATAAGTTGATTATTGGCTAAAGTGACAGTATTTTCATTATATTGCATTAAATATTATTTAAATGAATTTCACCAGTGTCTGTTCCTATTTTTTCAATGTGATGTCTAGAAAAATAGAAATGACTTCTGACGCTCTCATCTGTGATTTGCATTATGCTTCTGTAGGACAGGGATAGCTTAACAGTGAGAATTAAACATACTGCACACAACTAGCAATACATAACAATTACTCTCTTCAATTTAAACAGGAAGGGCTGGATTTCATTAAGAATTCCACTGGCAAATTGTAATTGAGAAACAGATGTTTATGTGACGCTAAGCAGAATGTAATTAGCATGTTCGAGAGCTACATTAAACATTTTTACCTTTTAATATCAATGTCCACAGATATGCAATTTAAAGAACTGAATTCTAGAGGCTGGGGAGATGGCTCAGTGGATACAGTACTTTCTGTGCCCACATTAGGATCCCAGAACCCTCAGAAAGCCTGGCCTGGGAGCCCGTGTCTGTGATACCAGCACTGCGCGGGAGGGGACAGGTGACTCTGCAGATGGTGTAAGCAGAAATGCAAGCTCCAGGTTCAATGAGAGACCCGGTCTCAAAAATTAAGGTGGAGAGTGACGGAGAAAGATGTTTGCAGTATTATTGCTAGCTTCTAAACATGCAGGCACTAGAGAATGTGTGTGCGTGTGCGTGTGCATGTGTGCGTGTGCGTGTGCGTGTGCATGTGTGCGTGTGCGTGTGCGTGTGTGGTGGGGAGGGACAAGGAATACACCTTAATTCTAAATAAAAATGTACATAGATTTAATATAATTCCTCATTCTAAGAGTTTTATAACTGAGGTATTTTTGACCTTGAAATACAAATCCTAAGTAATATATCACAGTAGCTAGATATCAATAGAACAGCAAAGTACAACATGTAGATGCACACCCAGGAACCCTTCCTCCAAACAATCCCAATGTCACCCTGGCTGGGTTTGCTAATCTCTCCTCAGCGACACCTACTCCTCCATCACTGCCGACTTCGTCTTTGGAAGGTAAACTTGTCTCTCCGCTTTCTGCCTGCACTCTCAGTAACTCCTAGGTTTGTAGCAAAAAGTCTAACTCTAGCAGAGCTTTTAACGCTGCACTGTAAATTACCTATACCCACCACTCCTGAACTTGTCAAGATCCATTCTAAGTACTGCAGGTGAATGCCTGCCCCCATGAGGGGAGCTTGCTCACAGCTCCACAACCCCTGCTTGTCTGCATTGCATGTAGGCTAGTGATCTGGGGACGGACTTCTCTATACTGTCCACGTAGCTGATAGATACAATCGCAAATCCCACCCATCATATTGTATCGTAAACATCTACAGCCTACTGGAGAGTATTTTGAGAGCAAGTTAGTAGGATAAAATTAATAGCAAACATTTGTTCTGGGGAGTGTTGGGATTTGGTGCAGGGACAGGCATATACTGCCTCTTCAAGAGATAGCTGTCACAACAACCATAAAGAACAAGGGGCTATCAACTTGAAGATGGGGGGGAACATGGGAGGGAGCCAAGGGAAGGTATCTGGGGGTAGCTGGAGAAAAGAAAAGGACAGGGGAACGTGATACAATTCTATTTCACCAAAAAAAAAAAAAAAAAAAATTAAAAGAAAATGTCACCACCTTCCACCACCCTTGTACTAAATACAAGACTCATGTTTTCTCTCCCTTTTTCTCCCAAATTACATTTATTTATTTAAATTTACGTATTTATTTAGTTTATATCCTAGCCACAGTTTCCCCTTTCTCCTCTCCTCCCAGCCTCTCCCTCCTATCCCCTGTTCCCACCCCCAAATCCACTCCTCCTCCATTTCTATTTGGGAAAGGGCAGGTTTCCCATGAGTATCAACAAAACACGGAATATCAAGTGCAGTAAGACTAAGCAAATCCCCATGCATTAAGGCTGGGAAAGGTGGCCCAGTATGAGGAATAGGGTCCCAAAAGCCTTTAAAAGAGTTGGAGACAACCCGTTTCCACTGTTAGGAGTCCCACAAGAGGCCCAACCTATACAACTGTAACATATACGCAGAGTGCCCAGGGCAGTCCCATGCAGGCTCCCTGGTTCAGTCTCTAAACCCTTATGAGTCCAGGTTAGCTGATTTCTTGTGGTGTCCGTGACCCCTCTGGCTCCTACAATCCTTTCTCCTCCTCTTCTGCAGGATTCTCCTAATTCCACCATGGTTGGGTGTGGAAGACTCATGTTTTCAAAGCAAACGGTATGTTCCAGCACAGGTAAAATGCTTTTAAAATATGTATGTATGTATGTATGTATGTATGTATGTATGGATGGATGGATGGATGGATGGAAGGATGGATGGATTTCGCTTATTTATTTTGGTGGTGGGGACAGAGCCTAGGGATGGCTTTGCAAGTGTTCCACCAGTGAGCTATATCTCCAGCCCCGTGTTTACTTCTATCAGATAGCATATGTGTACTTTTTTTAAGAAGTCAGACAATATAATCGGTAGTTCCGTGCTGAGTTCCTTCTCATCCTCAAATCTAAGTTTCCTAAATCAACCACTTGAAACGCTTGGCTTTCTTTTGATTCTTCCCTTCATTCTCAGATTTCTAAACTACACACATTTTCCATTTTTCCATCTCCCTTCATCCCTCCCCACCTCTCTCTCCACATGAAGATATAAGCAAAAGGAAGTAGTCTATTCTACTTCCATGACATCTAAATTCTTGTTCTCGAGGCTTTACTCATAATAACTATGTAGCAAACACACCTTTGAGAGTGGGTAAGTGATGCACGTGCTCTTTGGGACTTGAATGTAAACTGCTGAAGAGCCCAAGCGAAGAACTACAGTAGCATACCAATTGAGTCCAAGGTAGAAGGAAATGGTGACAGACAGGACATGTGGGCAGCACAGAGGAATCTCACACAGTCAAATGTCAGCACACCCTTGACACCAATACCACGTGGATGAATCTGGAATCAGACAGCCTATGTTCACATTCTAGCTCAGTGATCTTGGGTAAGTAACTCACCTTTTAGTGTTTCAGTCTTCTTATCTGTAAAGTGGATCTAATGTTCTCTACATCCAGATCTGCTGTCTTTCATGCTCTCAAAACGAAAGCTTCACGATTACTGTTCGGCATATGCACAGAACATTAAAGTGGTACCACCCTGCTGGCGTTGAGGGAAGGCTGACTTCTGAGTTTACCAGAATCTTGCCATCTACTTGGCACTGAGCTTTAGCAGGTAGGGTACAATGTGAAGAAGTGGTTACACTTGACAATGGGAACTATGCAAGGCCAAGGAGATTGGACAGGAATTCATTTGCCTGTGAGTACAGAGACCTTTCCATTTGCCTCAGCTACTCTATCAAGGAAACTGTATCTCTTTTTCATGTGGACACTAAATCAGAAGCAAAAATAGTATTTAACAAATAGCAAAGACACCTGACTACTGTTGAAACTTAACATTATATATTTGGTGGAAATGTAGCATCATTTGCAAACAGAATCATTCCTCAACTTTGTATTGACTCAAGACAGTAAAAAAGAGGTATTACGTACCACATGCTGACCTCACTTTCAGATTCCCCATGCTGCATTACTGTGCTGATGTTTAGAGATTGGTTAAAGCATTTAAACAAGCCCTCTATTCTTAAAATGTTCTATGAATGAAACTAACACCTTATTAAAAAGATCTTTCAAAAATGATTTGCCTTGAAAAAACAGTACAATAAATTATTTTAATGCATTTGATAGCAATGGGAAATATAACACAGTCTATGATTCTCACACTTAAACACACAAGTGCCCACCTCCACTAATTTTAGAGTATGAAATTATGAATTTGTTGTACATATTTTCATTAAACTAATTTGCAAATTTAAAACCTCCAGGCAGCTAACAGCATTACAGTATTGATCTCAAATCCCTACACACCCCCTACGGATAGAAGGCAGAAGAATTCTCTTCACATGGAATGGCAGATTTATCTAGTTTTGTAATTTTGTTTTTTATAACAACTGTTAAGAATTTACTAGTTTGTATCCAATTTAGAGAAAATAAAATGATTGGTTATGAAACAAAGATAGTTTGTATGGATGTTTCAGCTAAAGAGTTATGTTAAAATATATTCTTCACTTAGTCAAATATTTATATCTATACTACTAAAATCTACATTTACTATTGTAATGAGAATTGACTTAAAATTCTGTAATGATGAGTCATTTAATTTGAAATGAATTTCATTTTAGAGATTTGGTTTTAACTTGTCTTGTTTATTAAAATCCATTACATCACGGAAATGAAATTATAGAATATTATCACATAACAAAGCTTACTTGCACAATAAGCATGTTTCCACCCTTTCAAGTCCAGATAGTTTCACCAAAAATAAAACAAAAAGCGTGAATAGGAGGATGGAGGGAAGGGACCAGTTAGACAGGGAAAGGAAAAGTCTCTCAGCCTGGAAAAGAGGGCACTGTGAGGGAGCTGTGTGCCAGTTTCTGCATATAGAAAACTGGGGCCTTGGAGGATGCAGCATTTTCTAAGAGCTAGTGAGACTGGAAAATCTTCCAGCCCAACCCTGTCAGATGCCACCAAAACTTCTGTCCTCTGTGATCTCAGAACTGGGAGCCACGCTAGTGAGACATGCATCCTGATAGGATCTGCAGCTTATCATGTGGCATTCTTGCAAGCTTCCACTATTGCTCTTATTAGCTGGGAAGATTTGATTCTGACTCCTCATGCCGGCTCTAAGAGCTCAGGTACCACACAGAGGCTTATGTGTTTGCTGAACTGACCACTTTTTGTCTAGAAGTGTTCTATGCTTCTTTGGGGGATGCTGGTCAGTGTTCTGCCAGGCTACCCGGTATCGGCAGAGCTATAATATAAACTGTCAATGACTTTTCTCTCTTTCCATTTTAGAGACCAGACTGATACAATGGGCAGAAATGTGTTCTCAGCGATCTAACTGCCTGGTGCGGGTTTTTCTTTCCTCCCACATCTTAAAATAAAATGAAGGAAAACTAAAGAGGCGTGGTCCTGCCAATCCCGCTAGCATTGTGGGCTGCAGCAGAGGGCTCGGGGTCAGCCATGCCATCCAGTGACATCTGTGTCCTCTGTCACAGGGAAACAAGCTCTACTTCTCAAAAGTAAAGAACTAGGCATGGGAAGGATGGATGTGGACAGGGGGTAAATATACGTCTTCCAATAACCACAAAACTGTTTTAAAGTTAAATCTGAAGTGGATTGGAAGCTTCCCATAGTGGGCAAAGAGCTACGAAACCTCTTCTCTCTGCATTAGAATTTGTCTTCTGGCTAACTCTCCAAATCTGTTCCCATGAAGAGGAAAGGAGTGTGCGGATCGTGTCCCTGAGCAACACTGCTCACACTGCTCAGGGTGACAAAGGCCGTGCCTGGCTGGAAAGCAGCTGAAGTGTCTGAGGACACCACTCCATCAAAGTCCTCAGGGCTGATGTTTTCTCCCTGGAAACAAGAAGCTCTGTACTGCCTTGTGAACAAGCCTTCCCTCATCGGTCAGGTGAGCAAATAGGCATCTCTGACCACCGGGTAAACTGAGGCATGGGCCTTGCAGGCTCCTGCATTAGTGGACTAAAAGACAATGGCCTCTAGTAGGCTGACTCCGGGCTTCTAGTCCTGAGCGAACTGTTCCAAGGCAGCCTGGGATGACTCACAATGCCTGAGGGTAGTCGAGGCAGCTGAATGTTTAATTTTTAACATTTCTTTTGGTTGGGGGGCTTCAAAAGGCCAGGACAAACAATTCCTTTCTTGTCCTTCTCTTTCATCTTTTAATTGTTTTTAAAAATAAAGGCTCACTACGTAAATACTTGTCTGGCTTCAAACCTGGCATCCTCCTGCCTCCAGCTCTCCAGCACAGAGACTACAGGTGTATATTGTGATAACTAGCTTAAAACAACATATTTCTAAAGGCATGAACAATTGGAAATACGTTATTTATTCATCTGCAAAACATTTTTAGAACGTTCATTATAGCTGTTCTGTGGAAAGTACTCTCCTACTGCTGCCTATATTAGGTAGGACGTTTCCAATCCATACACCCTCCATTAACAACTCTGATAAAGAGAACACTGGGTTTAAGTAAATGTTTGCAATCCTGACACCTGTTTTTCCTTTCCGAAGAGTACACAGTGCTGGGCTGGGTATGGGACAGCTGCTACAATGCCAGTCTGGCTGTCTAAGAAGAACGGCAGGATCAAAGTAACAGAGACTATCTTAGATGCCTGATGGATTTTCAATAGACAAATTCATTAAAGGTATATTTTGTGAAGAGACCCAGCCTGGCTTGGTCATGGTGGCAATGACCATGAGAGGTATGAGGGAAAGTGACACATCGAGCATACCCAAGCGTTAGCTGAGGAACACCATGAATCCTGAAGCATTTTCAGGGCCGGAGAAGACCAGTAATGGCTGTAAAAGCTCTAAAAAGTGCTGAAAGCAAACATTCTGTTCTGCATTTAGATTAACCCATTGAAACGAAAACACTCACACAGAAGCCAGTACAGAGAAGTAAGGCTTTGCAAATAGAGGTACTATGGATCCAGGTTTATAATCGGTATTACATACTTAATTCCTTTGACAGGAAGCAAGGATGAATCAGGAAGAGACACTAGGCAAGGCAGGCGGCAGAGTGAACATGCAGCACATCATGTGTTAAATTGAAACAGCCCCCCGAGTTCAACTTTCTTCACTGTTCAAGGAGAAAATCTGCTGCTATGTACTTCAGGATAAAGGATTTGCAACTATATGGTGCTTGAGAAATATGCTATTGCTGTAATTTAACTCACTGTATGTGGGCTTCAAGATGCACAGTGGCATTCCAAACCAACTTTTAAAGAAAATTGCATGGAATTTTCAAGACATCAGGAGCGTTCTTAAAAGTTATGCAGAGAAAACGGATTTTTGATAGTTATGAATTACATTTAGTGCAGCCAGATTGTAGAGAACGCTCTTTTTGCCTCAGTATGGTTAGAATTACTGTTGACAAAGTTTTAATTTAAATTTTCAAGGATTTAAACTGGAGAATATAGGTCACTGAATTTTCATTCACTGCATAAGTGTCACTACCGGCAGAAAGCAAGCTTTGTTGGTGAGGGACAAACTCTGGCCCCGGAATCCATCTTTTCTGTAATAGTTGGGACTGAGTCTGTGTTAGTGAGAATGACTTGGTTCCCAGTCAATCGACAGCCTGAACATGCACAGTTAGCAACATGCCTGGCATGCAACAGAAGCTCAGTTCAGAAAATATTAAATGCATTTGTGAGACAGACCAGAGTTCACAGAAACCATTTATTACAATCACAGGCTGGAAGAGATTCCATCATTCCTAGTGGGTTATAGATTCATATAGATTTATAATAGTAGAAAATATACTGCAGAGCTCCAAAGTATAATTCTATCATTGCTAACTGGTTTCTGGTAGCCAAAAAAAAAACAAAAACAAAAAAAAAACAACAAAAAACAAATATCTGTAGGGTCTGTCACATGTAAAACACATTTAAAAGAGCCTTACTATATACATCAAGAAACCACGAGAACTTATTTAGAAACGAGCTTTCTAATTTAAATATTGTCATAAAGCAACTGATCTAATAGCATATGATATTAAAATGAAAACCACTTTCATGAATAGAAATTTAAAATTTGTATTTTTCATAAACTAAGAACCGATTACAAATCAATAATCTATCAAGCAAAAGAGATGACATTTTGTGCAAAAAGCTGCACAGTTATGCAAAGGATATGCCCTTCCACACATCTGCACTGGGTGGGAAAGTTCTCTTTTCACTTGTATGCTTGGTGCTCCTGGTTCTGAAGGGGCCTCAGCAGACTGTTCTTGTGCACACAAAGAAACAAGATGGACGTAGGACGTAGGAACATGAATATATGGGCTAACCATGTATATATAGCCTATTTCGGGAATTTGTTTTGGTCCCAAATATTATCAAAGTAAATGAATATGACAGCAGTCTAGGGGATCATATATTTGGGTCAAGGCGGAAGGTTTTTCAATGGTACAGGTCACAAATATGTAAGCAACCGATAATCATTTACAGTGGTAAGAACTAGGGACTCAAACCTCTAACATGAAGGAAAGCAAAAACTACGTGTGAATGTCAGCAAGCTTAATAAACTCGCCTCTTTTCTTGACATTTAGGAAAATATTTTAATTAGAATACGAGAGGGAAAGATATCTGAATCTATACTAATTTATAGTATTTTAGAAACTGAATCATTTGCAAGCTTTGATTGCAAGGTGTGTTGGAAAGGCAAAGTTGAAAATGAACACTGTGAGGATTTCGCCCAATTTCTTATGTAAACCAGAGCAGACGGCATGATTCTCAAAAAAGCCAAGTACATTTGCCTCACATAAAATAAGACTGATTGAATTTCAAGCTTTTCACTTATTTTATAGAGCTAAAAATTAAGTTCCTTTTTGTTGTTCAAGATGGGCAGCGAGAATCGTGTGTGTGTGTGTGTGTGTGTGTGTGTGTGTGTGTGTGTGTGTGTGTGTGATAGCCATGTTACTATAACATGTTTATCTAGCACATTTAACACTATTATTTTTTCACCTAACAGGTAGTTCACACTACAGAATCGAAATAACTTAGAATATTGAGTATTTGCTCCTTGTGCAAGTTCAGGGTGTCCTTGCAGATGACGCCTGGCCATGGCCCATCCACTACAGAGTGTCTGCTCCGCACTCTAGAACAGCATCTCTGGGACTCTGATTCTCAAAAGCAGCTTTCCAGGACTGACTGAAGAGGAATTTCCAAAAATACAGAGGTCAAGGAAGGGGCTGGATCCTATTAGGGGATTATTGTGAATTTTCAAATCTAATAGTAGAACAGAAGAATCTTTATGGGACGAAATAAAATATCTTCAAAGCCAAACTTTTCCTGGAGAAGCTCCTAAAGCCATATGTGAGCAAAGAGGAGATAGTAGAAGGAAAGAGAAACAAGTTGTGGGAGAAAGGGAGAAGTGAACCTAAGCAACAGGGTATTTATAATCCGCCAGCATCAATCATCAAAGAGAATGTACATAACTAGCTTTCTACACGTTTTTCTTCTGCACCAAAGAATTATTTACCACATGAAAACATCATGATCTGTAATAATTAAATTATATCAGTGAATATAATTCATTTGACAAGGATAGCTGTATACTACACACACACACACACACACACACACACAAAGAGAAAAGCATCAGACATTCTTAAAGATGGCGTGAGTTTTGTTTTGTTTATTCCTCTTTTCAGTTTTTGAAAGTCTCCTTTTCTCTGCGTGCTCACAGTCACATTCAGCGACAGCCAAGTCACTTTCAGTATGAAATACATGGCACATGGAACCGAGGCTGAATCAGCCAAGCCAACTCAACTCAATTGTTAGAAAAGTTGAAAAGTTCAAACTATTTATTAAATGTCATGCGATAAACCCTTGAAGAGAAACACATATGACAGATAAATTCTAGGTGATTGAATCTTAAAAGAATGTTTTAGAATAAGGGTTAAAATGAACAGTTGAATACCAGAGTTAGAAGTAAGTTTGATTTATCTAATAAAGTAAATTAATAAGCCAGCCTTTCTGCACATGAGAAAGTTCTGTTTAACATCCACACTACAGAGAAATCATCAAGAGGTTCTGTTTCTTTGGAAGATAGGAGGTAGATAGATTATTCCTTCTTGTTCTGCAGATAACAAAATCAGTACAGTTGATGAGCCTGAAAAGGTTGAGACCATCTCCCTCAAGACATTCTCCAGGGGATCCCACCGTAATGGACTGCTCTCCTACCCTTGAGCAGGTCATTTACTGACAGGCCCAGCATGTCATCTACACTGAGAGAAAGTAGAACTGCACAAGTGTTTTACAAAGCAGTGGGTCTTTGGATGATTAAATTTATTGAGTCATAGTTATTGCAGGACAAGGAATTTGAAGGGCTGTGTGGGAGAGTATGTAAGACTACATACATAACTTGAATAACCTGATACTTATTTTCCAGTGGTTGGATCCAAAAGTTCCAAGCAAAACCTCAAAGTAATCAGAGAGTTAATGGGGTAGCAAAAGCATAAGCCATCTCTCCTTTTGTTTGTTTTCTGCATGTGCACACGTGTGCGCGCGCGCGCGCACACACACACACACACACACACACACACCTAATGCACCCAGCTCTATCTTTCCTTCTTAAGTCCCGTCCATCCTCCAGCAGCAGGGACTGAGCTGTGGATGGGGAGAGGTGCTGGGTATTCCCAGATGATGATGCTTTAAACTGGACTTTGCTGAGTTACCGAGACTGCGCCTCTCTGAGGAACACAGTAGGGTTTAGGCTGGACTTCCTAAGCCAAAAACCAACAATAGACAATCAGGGTACAATTAGACTTGAGAAGTCCACTAAACAAACCATAGATTTTAGAAGAAAAAAAAAAGGCCCATTCATGTGTCAATCTCGAAGTGATTCCCACAAGTCAGGCATGTCTTTACAGAAGAATTGACATGAAAAAGCTTCCATTACCGATGTCAGTAAAAAAAAAAAACAAAAAAAAAAAAAAAAAAAAGATGGCCTAGCTTAAAATAAAAGTAAACAATAACTTATTAGTCCCATTTGAAAGATGAAATAAACAACTCAGGATTTTGAAAACTGCTAAAGAGAAAGGATCGTGATTCCTCTGACCTTTTCTCCACAAAGACAAGAGAGCACATGGAGGGAGACAGAGACCTGATGCTCTGCAAGGAAGGAACCTAGGTGCTACACCCCTCTCCTCTCACTCTTCTTATTTCGGCAAATGAGGGGCATTAAAGAGAAAGCA